CTAACCCCCTAAGCACCAACCGCTAATCCCTAAACCTAATCCCTATAACCTAATCCCTAAACCCCAGAACCCTGAAGGGGTTTTGAGAAACTGTCAACCTCTCCAGGGAGACCGCTGGTTCCCGCCACCTCCTGATCATGAAATGTGGCTAATCACCTCCTCTGATATTCAAGCATGTCCCCGAACATATATACGTATGCATACCCCTGTGTAACATTGGTCTCTGTATATATGTAGAAAAATAGAGGTAGATATGTATATGTATATACATATATATATACAGATAGACTGACTCTCTCTCTCCCCCTCTCTCTCTCTCTCTCTCTCTCTCAAGCAAAGGCGAGGATGTTGGAGGTGATGAGATTCCTGGACTAAAGTTCTAAATAGTATATCATAGTATATGTCCTTGATAGGTCCCCCTATACTTCCTACATATCTTCCCCAACCTAGCTTTTACTCCGTAGTTCATGAGGAGAGTCCACAAAGCCGGCCATTCTGCGAGCGCAACGCGAACCAGAGGACAAGGAGACCGGAATCGTGGGGTTGGCATGCCCAGTTCGTTTTTTTTTATCCTCATGCTCATGCGATGATACTGTGACTTACCCAAACCATCCCAAACCCTTGTGGAATGAGCTGGGGCTACAAGACTTCTGTATCTGCACAGTGCCACATGTCGAAAGACCGAGCCCATTTCCACATCCTGAGTCCGCGGCGTGCTGATTGCCAATCACGGACCGTCACGGACACCCAGTCACATCAACTTCAAACCAATGTGAACGGGATGGGCGTGACAAACAATGTACAGAGGGGAAAACCCTGTCCCTCAGGGCACATGGACTAAAAACCCACGAAACCCACAAGACGGGTGAGGCCTAAGGCCGGCAACCGACAGGAATGCGAAGAGAAAGCGATGAGAGCATGTCAGCAGTGAGTGCAATGATGTACACGCCCTGGAGATAGGTTCTCTCACCACAGCACTAGACTGGGTTGCTGGTAGGAACTTAATTCAAATTGCTATATTCGGCAAACCACATTAATCAGGGACCTGTGCGCAGATGCGGCAATCCCCAGGACACAGGATCAGCGCGACCGAGGTGAGAGAAGTCAAGCCGAACATTGCACATTGCACAATGGGCTGATGTGAGCATGCTCCCAGTTTCCATTTCATTTTCCATTTTCTTTTCCATTTGATTCTCCATTATAGTAGTTTCCATTTTATTTTCCATTATCCCAATATAACCCCTAAACCCTAAACCCAGAAATGTCTTGTGACAACAAATGGACTTGGGCTGAACACCTTTCCCCACAAGAGGCTGTGTACACAGGGGACATAAATAATATTGAGGGTGGGGGATAGGGTTTAGGGTTTAGGGTTTAGGGTTTAGGGTTTAGGGTTTAGGCTTTAGGGTTTAGGGAGGTGCTTCAAATGATATAAACCATATATAACTCTATATAACCCGACCTTGCCTACAGTAGGAAAGAAGTATTGCAGTTTCCTTCCTGAAGTCGTGAGGGGTCCTTCGCCTGCTCCGTCAGTGGGAGCGTGACTGCATCTGCATCCTCCATCTTCCTGGGCTTTGTCATGGGCCCATGGGGCCCTAAGGGGGGGTTGTTCTCAAAAACTTGGTGGTGGGGGTCTTGGGTGGAAGCGCTGCAATCAGGATTATTGATTGTGGCTTATGGTATATTTGTTGCTACAGGAGGGATCCCTGCTTTTGGAAAGAGCCAAACCTTGAAACTGCTGCATGACTGTTTTATCATTGGGTCGATGAAGGCACTTTTGCAAAGCCTTTTGATTTCTGATTGGGTCTTAACTTGCCCGAAAGAAGAAATATTTCCTTCCACAAAGGTCCAGCTTCTCGGGGTCTTCCGGGAGGTCCGCATCCCTGGCAGTGTCAGGTAGCGTATCCACCAGTGTGTCTGCTGCTGGATCTTCCCTCTGGTCCTGGATTGTCAGGTGGCACCCCTAAACCCTGAACCCCAAATAGTAATTACCATGTTATTTCCAATTATCCCTGTATTCCACTCCTATATAATCCCTATATTAAGCCCCGAAACATCTGAGGGATCTAGTGAGGATTCCTTCTTCGACATTGCCTTGGGTTTTCTGATTCTTCTACACTAGGTAGCATGAACCATCAAGCCAACGAAGGATTTGTTGATGTTGAGCTTCATTGGCAGGGCTCCCTTTCCCATCTACCTGGGCAGTGACAAAGTCACAGTTCCTTCAACACCCAAGAAATTTACGACTATCCCATTTTAAGGGTCACCTGTCATCCATAGCCGCACTCACCTCAGAATTCAGTGCCCAGTCTCTGAGTCTTCCTTTGCGCTACCTCCCAGATTCGGCATTTCCTCGCGGTTGGGCTCCTCTACATGCATCGACTCTCCAACCTGAGTGCTGTATGCTTGTGGGGCAAAACTTATTCCGCTGGCCAAACCCTCAGAGTATGGAACTTCAAAGGGCGGCCAATGCGGGTCATACTGAGGTGTGCGTATCAGATGGGCTGCAGCTCGTGGCACATGAATGGTTCGTAATGTGAAGTTGATCATGGAAATGGCGCCTGAAGAGTATAAAGAGCAATACTGTTCGCCGCACTGCTCCTCCCTAGAATGACTGAACACAATGACAAGGATAGTAACAATGAAAAGAGGAAGCAGCACCAGTCACGATGATGCCAGTAAGAACACAAATCGCAGAGCACGAGCTTATTGGCATGTGGTGCGGTACGTATATGCCGAATCACCAATGCTGTCTACAATAGTGATTAAGCAAGTGTGGCATAAGACCGTACCGGATGACACATTGTACTTTGCTACACCTAGTCTAACAACCTCCCAAAATTTGGAAGGAGCCCACCCCCCACCCCTATCAGGAAAGGGGAAGGGGGGGGGGGGGGGGG